ACAGAAGCTGGAAGCAGAGACTAGAGTGATGCACTCTGAGCTTGGAGACAGAGGAAGGGGCCATGAGCCAAAGAACACAGGTGCTTCTAACAGCTGGAAAAGGCCAGGAAACGGCCTTTTCCAGAAGGAACCAGCCCTGCTGACCCCTTGATTTCAGCCCAGTGAGACTGATTCTGGACTCTGATCTCCTTAACTGCAAGAGAATAAATCTGCATTGTTTCAAGCCACCAAGTCTATAATAATTTGTTAGCGCAGACACAGGAAACAAACAGCTGGGGGTAGAAAGTGTTTGACAGATGAGGAGAGACTCCGCTCCCCCCGTCAGGACAGTGCAAGCGCTGGGCCAGGTGCTGGCAGGCAGTGCTACACCGTCACTCTGGGGAGGGAGAGCCTGGTGAGGAAAGAAGAGAAGGGGGCCCGGGAGGGGCCGTGAACCCAGCTGTGAAGTTCTCGTGGAAAAGACCTGGGGTTGTGGCCAACCTCAAGTTTAAAAGGAATTCACGGTTGGCTGCCACTGCTCAGCGGGTCCCCGGGCTGCAAGGTGAGAAGTGCCGATTCCTGCATAGAGACCAGGGTAGTTTCAGGCCGCTAACCCCGGCCCTGGCAGCTCTGTGTGCCCAGCACCGAGCTCTGTACACTCTCCTTGGCCAGCTTCACAGCCGTCCTATGCAGAAGGTGGGTCAGTGGCCCTGGCGCACAGATAGGGGAAGGGAGGCTCAGCCTGAAGCAACCTGCAACCCCTCCACAACAGTGAGCCCTAGACCCCTGCCTTTGCACTGCAGATCCCTCTTCATTTCCACTCCATCAAATGGGTCCCCTGTCACAGGGCAAGCAGCCCTGCTTTGGGGGCATGGCCACCCTTCTGTACCCGTTTCCATCCAATACCCTCAGATTCTTATTTTCCTTTCATCTAAAAACAGCTGCAACAGGGGAGGGTATGGCTCAGTGGTAGAGTGTGTGCCTAGTATGCACAAGGTCCTGGGTTCAATCCCCAGCTTTAAAATAAATAAAAACCTAATTACCCCCCCCCACCAAAAGAACAAAAAACAGCTGCAAGACTGTTTTCAGGCACAAAGTTGGTTTGCAGATATAAAGAAAAGACCTGGGCTTGAACTCTGCTCCTGCCATTTACTAGCGGTGGGCCCTGGGGCAGGTCACTCCTGAACTGCTCTCTGCCTCAGTTTCCCCACCTGTGATGAGAAGGACACCCCCCTGGCATGGTGAAGAATACACAATGCCACGACTGAGAGGCCGCCTGCCTGGCCCAGAGAAGACACCCACGAGTCCTGTTGCTCTTCCCTCGCCCTCTTCTGGCCGTCTTGATTTTTCAAAGTGTTCTGGGAATCCTCTCCTGGCCTGAGTCAGAGAAAAACCTACTGCAGCGGCCCCTCCCCACCTTCCACCATACCCTCTGCCTTCCTCGCAGACCCGTTTTCGCTGGGTCTTCTCCACAATGGCCACGTGCTTCCAGGAAGCTGACAAGGGGGCCTGCCTGGTCTATGCCAGCAGATCTCAACTGGCTGCTCCAACTCAGCAAAATGTATGCTGCTCAGACCGCAGACGCCAGTCTCTTTAGAAGCAGGATCCTGGCCTTGGCATTTTTATAGAGCTCTTCCAGGGGCATCTGAGGACTGTCTGTTCACTCTAATCACGTCAAGCATCTGAGCCCTAGGTACCACCGGCACC